TTTCTAGCATTAATATTGACCGAGTTATACTATACAATATAATTTTAATTGCGTGTTTATACTACATTTGTGAGTTCTATTAGTATAGTTTGGAGTCCTGGCTAAGCCGCGGTCACCTTTGAACAGATATTATTTTAAAGTAAAAATTCTTGAAAAAATCTAACAAGAAGAAAGAGTTTTATACTACACTAGTCGAAATAATCCATTTCATCACTTTTTTAAAGTGCTGAATGTTGGCCAAAATATAGTCTAATTTCTGCCGATTATTGCCAAAACAATCAGCATTTTAGTTATAACTAATGTTGCATAATTCAGATACTATATAAATAAATATTTGATATTAACGATTAATAGTAGTTTGATACATTGATACAATTGACTTAAATTCGTTTAACTAATAAAACAAACAAAATTTGACTTAGTTAATAAAAAATCAATAATATTTCGGCTATAAGTAATCAAAAATCAGTAAAATAAAATTTCTGATATTTAAACGATCTTATTAATATCTATTTTCACATTTTAGACGATTTATTAATTTTATAATAATGTAATTTAATCGAATTAGTAATAATTAGTTTATTAATTTAAAATATAAAATAAAATATAAATAAAATATAAATATAAAATATAATACAAATATAAATAAACAATAAACTACAAATCAAAAATATTTCTCTATAATTATAATTTGTTGAATTTATTCTTCTTCAACGTAATCATCTTGATTCTCAATTTCAGTTCTGGGTATGGAAAAATTAGTACCTGCTGGAGTGTTTTGATTTACAAATGTCCAGTCAGAAGCATTTCAAGGGTAAAGAATCATTATTGTAAAATTATCGCTATAATGTCGAGTTCTCATCAATTATGCATTTTGCAGTAAGAATGCATGACAGTTAGCTCTCACAACAATGCTTTCAACTAATAAAATTAAATATTGAATTAGTTAAAAACTTAACTAAAATTATAAATAAATTTTTTAAAAAATTATCAAATCTGTCTGATTTCCAGCTTGGATCATAAACATTAATTAATCATTTTCCCTTTTCTTCCAAATCTGTCTCTGAATCTTCAGGGAATGATAATGATTGTCCCTTAAGATTAATAATAATTATTCCTTGTCATACTTCAAAATCTGCTTATCTTTGATTCTTCAGGTCTTTTTTTATATTAAAAATATCGAATGTTAATTGAAGTTGCTTTTTTTTTTAAAAAAATAATTTTGATATTTATCTTATTAGTATAACTCTTTTTGTGTAAACGTCAATTATCATGATCTAAAGTACCATATTGTTTATATAATAAATGAACTTATCGATGCCTATAAAAGACGCTAAGCCACTTCTTGACTTGTTTGTATGTTATTTTGAATTTTTTTAATATATCAACGAGACATGGTATTAATTTTCGTAATATTTCAGTATTTTCTTCATTACCAAACTTAAGATCATATCTTATTTTGAGATCAGTTGGTAGTATCATTAAAATCATTCTCATTTCATTCTAAATTATAAAAAAAATAAAAGGTTAATTAAGTTAATTTAATTAATGTAAGTTAAATTAAAAATCGGTTAAAATTAAAGTTATTTAATTAAAATTCAAAAAGTTAAAAAGTTTTTAAACAAATCCTTGCCACTTCATTATTGTCATACTCTCTTTATCGCTTTCATTTTCACTACTATGTTGAGTTTACTTTTCTTGACGACCTTCGTCTGTTTCTTCATCTCTATGTTTTCGTCAGCTTTATCCAAGTTCGTCTCACAAACTCTCATTTTCATAAATAAATGCTTCGTTATCTCCAGTAACTTTGCTGAATTCTGTCTTTAAATCTTTCAATTCTTCATTTGCATTGTCAAGTTGCCTGTTCAATTTGTCAATTCTTTTACGTAAATATATTTTTTTATAGAAAAGTTAACAATAAATTGATTAAAAAATATATATAAGCTAAATTTTTGCAATAAATTACAATTACTTTTGCTTAGCGAAGAATCGGTTGTTTCAGGAGAAGCTTCTTTTCTTCTTAGTCGATAAGGAATTACACTCCTTTCATCATACCTAATCCTCGATATCTTGTATAATGATATGGAGAATATCAAAACTCATCATCTCGAGAAATATCAAATTGTTGATGATAAGGAGTTATACTCCTTTCACTACTTTTTTCAACGTGATATCTTTCATTACCTATTTGTTGACGTGTTGAAGACCTTTCAGGTGTCCTAAAATGAAAAGCTGATAATGTCTGCAGATCTCAGTTATCAGCTTTCAGAATAGCATCTCTAATCATACTGTCGGTTGAGATTTCACCATGTTAATGTTCATCTTCAATTCTATAATTAAGTGAAACATTATAATCTCCACCTGATCGAGTTGAAAATTGAGATTGAAATCAAGTTTCTCTGTAAATACTTAATGGTACTATTAATTTGAATAGTCTTTCATTTGTCAAATTCTGCAAATATGAAGATTTCAATATTTTCTGTTGACTTCGAAATGTCAGAACCTTCCAATGTGGTGTTTCTTGATTACTTATATTTAGTGCCACAAACTTGTTGATATGGAGTTTCTTGGCTACTAAGAGGTGTTGTTGTCAGAACCTGCCAACGTATTTCTTGGCTATTCTAAGGTGATGAAGTTGTTGTTAGAACCTGTTGACATGTTTCTTTGCTACTTGAAGGTGTTAAAGTTGTTGTCAGAACCTGCCAACATATTTCTTTGCTACTCGAAGGTGTCAAAGTTGTTATCAGAATCTGCTGACATGTTTCTTGACTACTTGAAGGTGTCGAAGTTGTTGTCAGAATCTGCTGACGTGAAGTATCTGCTATTTTTTGGCTACTAGGAGTTTCTGTCACTCTCTGAGTTTCTTGTTAACATGTTGCTTTCTAATAATGTGATGGTTAACAATGTACTGCTGTAGCCTTTTTGTGACTCATATTTCTATCATATTTGCGATGAAATATTAGTGAGAAATTGAAAATGGAAGAAGACGATGTATGTGAAAGAGAAATGAAATATTGTTAATGAAAATGAATATGTGAAAGGGAAATGAAATATTATTTTTTGGCGAAAGATGAAATATTGTTTGTGAGAAAATAAGAAAATTTTTTTGTCGAAAAAGATTTGAAATGTTGTTTGTAAAAAATATTGAAGAGTTTGATTAAAAATAGTTTGAGGGAAATGAACCTTTTTATAAGTATTCAGTTAAATAGAGTTTATTTTAATAGTATAATGCATTACATGTAATTTATTTAACTTTCAATTTAAGGTGATTAATTCTTTAGATTTTGATTATAATGCAGTAATTATTTTAAGTTTTGATTTAATGTGGTAATTGAAGTATTCTTTAAAGTTTCGATATAGATATTCTTTTAAATTTTGTTTATAATGCAAGTATTCTTTAAGTTTCGATTTAATGCGATAATTGATTTAAATTTCGATTATAATGTGATAATTGTTTTATAATTCATTATTCTTTAAATTTCATTTATAATACATGTATCCTTTAAGTTTCAATTTATTTTGATAATAGTTTTAAATTTCTATTATAATACGATAATTCTTGAAAATTTCAATTACCATGCATTAATTATTTTAAGTTTCGATTATAATGCAAGTATAACTTAAATTTCGATTATCATGCAATAATTATTTTCAGTTTTAATAATAATACAGGTGTTCAATTATAATGCGAATATTAATACAAGTTTTATTTCACCGCAGTATCTATATTAATTTTTTCGTTTATATATATAAATCGTTCATTAATATTGACAAAAAAATCAATTTCAAATTTTCAAGATGACAAGAAATAAGACTATTTTGAATATTATTGGTAATAAGCCAACAAAACAACCATTTCTACCATCTGAGTTAACTTAAAAAAAAGTTAACAAAGTTCCTTGTTATTGTAATAAGTGTAATGGAAAATTAGTTTTAAATTGGATTAAACTTTTTATGAATTGGCAAGTAGTTTATCAACGATTTGTAGAGATTCAAGTAGCTCATCAACGTTTCATGTAGCTTTGCCAGCGAACAATTATATTCAAATTTTGACAAGATTTGAGAAGCAAAATGATTGATGATAATTCACAAGTTTTAAGAATCGAAACGATTGATCATTATCTGAAATTACTGAATTTACCTTGAAGGCATTGTAACAGTATAAAATTTTGGCTAAAATCTGATTACAAATCCAATGTCAATTAAATATCCCTGTTTATCATCTTATCGATCCTGATGTTAACTTTATGTCCTGAGATAATCAATGTGAAACATTGTAGATCCAGATGTCAATTTTATTTCCAGTGTAACGGGCAACTTTATTAACATGATCATCTTTGCTAATCAATTTTATCAACTTTATTTTCTTGACAATATCATTTATTTTTCATAGATATATTTAGTTTAGTTCATTTTATAATCATCAAACATGTATAAATACTTTTATATTTTTATTGAGAAATGATACCAATGAATAAATCCATCAATTAATATATACTTTAAGAAGGAGTAAGGATAATATTTCACTGGATGAGATTATTACCTTATGACCTTATGAGATAGAGAACTTACAATTTATTATATTATTTATAAAGAGTATAATGAATCAAGTTAAAACTTATCCTTTGCAACTCTTTAATCTGTATATATATAATTATTATTTATTAACTTTGCGTGGTATTGTATTAATTCGTTGTATTGATTTAAGGTGTAATCACTGAAATGTAATCTCTGAAATATTCAGAAGTTACTCGTGTGTAATTGAGAATAATCTTTGATGTTTACTACGAATCTTCATTGTGATTCTCTGAGTTTAATCTTAGCATTATTAATTTTGTGAATTTTATTTGAGTTACAAATCAAATGTAACAGCGTACAAGAAGATATAAAGTCATCCATAAGTTAGTTACAATTTGAGTGACTCTGAGGATGAGCAACATACCGAGTCTTCTTTAAGCGAGAATAGTGAACATAATGAAAGACGATATATCAAATCTCCTATGAGTGAAGACGAAAGTGTTTCTGATGATTTACTTATTTCTGAAACTTTTGAAGATTATTTTTCATTAAAATATGAACCATATCAAGATGAAGAAGAGGAAATAACGATCAATTATCAATTTGCATGGATTTTATTATGGTTAATAAACTTTTGAATTAGGTTAAACATACCAGAGACTGCAACTGAGTCTCTTATAAAATTTATGAAATTAATTCTAACTGAAATCAGTGATAATAAGTTTAACAGATTTTCAAGTACTCTTTATTTAGCAAAGAAATCACTTGGCCTCAAAGACCGATTTTATAGTTTCGTATCTTATACAAAATGTTATATACTTTACAACAAAGATGAAGTGGTGAACTTTCGACAGAATGATACTTTATCGATTATGAAATGCAATTACATCAAATTTCCAAAATCATCAATTTGCAGGTTACAGCCTTGTAATTCACTATTGTTTCATAAAATGGATAATTCAAATTTTTTTCAACCAAAATTAATTCATCCATTTGCCAACATTCAAGAACAATTCGATGTTATATTTCGTCGACAAGTGTTTTAAAATCATCTCGTCATTAGGTTAATAGAATAAGTTTCAGTAATATATTGGCTGATATACATGATGAACAAATTTGAAAGACATTTAAAGAAAGTGGTTCAGAAATCTCTCCAAAATTTTTCAGACCTGATGTAACTGATTCACATGTAGGCTTAATATTGAATTTGAATTGGTTTTAATCCTTTGATAAAACAATCTATAGTACTGGAGTATTATATGTCACAATTTGTAATCTTCCAAGAAACATTAGATTCAAATGTGAAAATTTACTAATTCTTAAAATTTTGCCCAGCCCGAATGAAGTAAGTTTACACAAGATAACCATTATTTAGCACTAATTGTTGACAAATTAGAGTTACTTTAGAATGTGTGACTCTAAATTAAACATACAAATGTCAAGAAGAAAGAAGAATTCGTGCAGCATTAATTCTTATTTCATGTGATATTCCCGCAGCAAGAAAAATTTGCGGTCAAGTTTCAGTATTAGTATCATGTCATAGATGTGAAAAGAAAGCAAATTACGAAAATCAGCAACATAATTTTGTTGGAATAAATAACATGAACGAATGGTTTACTTTCAGGATTTGTTATAACATCGAGAGAATACACTTGGCTGATGAAGTTGTAATTCAGATGCTAACAGAAAGCGATTTGTAAAGCAATACTAGTGTTAAATGGTTTGAATTACTTCGTTTACTATACTTTGATCCAATTCATTTTTTAACAGTAGATCCAATGTATTGTCTATTTTTAGGCATAGCGAAATGGATAGTTAAACGAATTTGGATAAATGAGAAGGTTTTAACTTCAGATACTCTTAAAAGTATCCAAAGGAATATAAATTAGATTTAAGTTCCATCCAATTTAGATATAATCCTTTGAAAAATCGAATGCGAAGAAGTTTTTTAACTTTACAGTAGACCAATGGCAAACATTTTATACAATTTATGCAACTACATCACTTTGGAAACATCTATCAGTAATCGACTAAACGATTCTAACACATTTTGTTAGAGTTTGTTCGATTCTGATAGGTCGAATTCTGAAACTCAATTTGATACAAGAAGCTCATGAAAGGTTGATTAAAATAGTAAAACTTATTGAGAAACATTACAGGTGTGATAAAATAACACTGAATCTCTAACTTTCGCTCAATTTACGAGAATGCTCATATGATTTCAATTAATTATACACTTTCTGGTATTTCTCATTTGAGCGTATGAATAGGATTCTCAGTTTTTGTTTGTTTACCAATTTTTATAATGAAATGTGCTAATACATAATGAAATATATTAATATTGTTTAGGTTCGTTACTGAGTAATTATAAATAAATTGAGCCAGAAATAATGCGCAGATTAATGAATGATAATCATATTAGAGAAATCAGTAGTTTGGTATATATTTGAACAGAAATTTTAGATTTGCTTGATAATCAAACTGTTGTTGGTTTGTTATTAAAAGATGATGAATATTCATCTGATGAAATGGAGCGATTTTAGTCTAATTTGAAAAACATACAGGAATTAATTATTACTAGATGCGAACCATTTCCTAAAGAAATGTTAAGTCCTAAATTTAATGCGAAATTGTCTAAGTCGATGCTTGATTTAATGATCGAATACTATACAGTAACATATGAAACATACAATTTTAAAGCACCATTCGATAACAGTCCTGAAGATTCAATTATACTTAGTCATGTTACAGCTAATTTCATAATTTATGGACCACTAATAAATTGCGACTGAATGCGACTGAAAATATTTTATAATAAAATTACTATAAAATATTGCGACTGAATGCGACTGAAAAATTATTAATGGTTCATAAATTATGAAATTAGCTGTAAAATAAATAAATTCTATCAGTGTAAAATTAGTTCAGAAGTATTTGGCTCGACCAGGTCATAAAAAAAGGCTTAACTCCTGACCCTTATCTTTATCAAATCCCAGAACCAGGTGAATGGTTTGAATATGTTGTAGTTGAGAATAATTCATCGAAAAGAGTAGGAGACAAAATGGAGTACCCAGAAGTAGTAAGACAACTTAGTAAAAAAATCAATATTAGCTATTATCTGAATAGTGTTGTCAACCTCTGTGCACGATTTATTAACTATGATAAATTATTCCAACTATCATCTGAAATTGTGCTGGAGGTCTTAAAAAGGTTAAAAGATGACAGTGGGATGGATGACGATTATCTGGACGAAGATGAAGAAGATGAAGATAAGATGGATGAAGATGAGGTATCAAAAATAAGAGATGCCTTATCGTAGAAATCAGCTGAAAAGTGGGTTAGAGTGTATATCAAAGAGCTACATATTGGTCTGAAAAAAGATCATGCTATTATATCCCATCTGTGAAAAGAGGCTAATACTTATGCAAAAAATTTATTTAATAGCACATATGCTGATAAAATAGTAAAATACTCGGGAAATGATGCTTATTGGTCTTTCTACCTCAATGCATTAAATAAGCAAGAGGAATTTATCTGCTTAAAGCTAACAACATTACTTGCAGAAATTTCTAAGATCGATGTTAGCTGTAGAGATGGAATGTATAAATTAGTTACTAGGTCGGTAAGCGCAGATCGAAAGCCATGTCCTTAGAAAGATACATGTTATCATATAATTTAGAAAATGGATATGATTTACTAACTGATTTGTGAAATACATGGTATAGGATAGTTGGTCTAGAAATTACATGCTATCAAACATTATCAAGGTTATAAAATGATAAAAAAGATAATTCATCTGAAGCTGATATAGATGAAATCATTGAACCATATTGTTAAGTACTCTTAGCGATATGTGGTAATTTCGGCTAAGAAAACTCATAATATTAATTATATATTTTTTTCTCATGCAATAATACCAGCTAACTTCAATTCCTATTTCTGAACTTCTGGCCTAAGATGATCACTCCAAATTTTCGGCCTCCGATCATACAGTCTGACCTTGAAAATATCTGGGGATGATAAAAAATATTTCCAGTTAGAAGAATACTCAGTATTACTTTTTTTCCATAAATTCCATATTTTTTTTCCAACGATCCATATAATTGCAATAAGTAGTAAGGTGAGTATGATATATATTAATATCAGTGACATTAAGAAGCTCGCAATAATAGAAGTAGTTGCTGGTAGTACTACTTCTGTGCCACCTGATTGCTCTGTAACCTTTTCACTCAAAATATACTTTTTGGAATGTGCTGGTTGACTATGAACAGATTGATTGAGTAGTGTATCTGTCTGGCTTCTCGAAACCATCTCATTCCAGGGTAATAGCTCTTGCAAAGCCTCTAATATATTTTCTCTAGCAAAACTTTTATCAAATTCCATAACTTTATTTTCAAGACCGAGCTCATAGACGAGGGGTCTTAAATTATTACTGACCCTACCTGGTAGCTTTTGCGATGAATTGTTCATAGGTAAAAATGGTGAATTAGAAAGCTCTGCTATTTCATTATCTTTTTTTGAGATTATCTCTCGGAGATGAGAATTTTCCTCCATTGAATTTATTCGCACTGAAGACAAAGCATCTATTTCCCATTTGAATATGTTATGTGATAACTCTATCTCCTTTTCCATGCATTCTATCGTATAATCTTTTGAGGATAAATCATTCTTTGCCTGTTTCAATTCAAGCCTGAAAGTATTGTTCTCTTTGAGATCAAATGAGTTTATTTGGGCTGGCTCTTTTAGTAGTCCTTCTACTAGCTTTTCACTGAGATCATTAATCTCAGATTTAAATTTGGTAACAGATCTTATTTTTTTTTAAGTTTTTGCTCATATACACTACCCAGCATATATCCCCTTTTATTGATATTTTTCAGTGTAAGTTAGAGCTCCGAATCATGTCAGGTCAACCTGTGACCTGACCTGACCCAACCTAAAAAATCCAGATTGGGTAGACAAATATTCAGATCAACATCAGGTCGGGTCAAGCTTATGATTTGATCCAGTGTTCACCAAATGATTATGACTGGCAAATGACTCAAATGACAAATGACAAATAATCTGTTATTTCAATTATCAAATGACCAGTCATTTCAATAATTTTTAAATATAGCTAATTTATAAATTTTTATTATTTATTTTGTTTATTATAGTGTAAATAAGTTAAATTTATTAAAATATTTAATTATATATATTAAAAAAAATTATTTCAGATTGGGCAAATATTTTATATAGTATATAATAGTATATTAAATTATATTCGAGTTCTGAACGAGTAGACTCAAATTATGAGTCAGATAAGTCAAGTCAAGTGCTAAATTCGAGCTAAAAACTGAACAATTATTTAGTTTCGTTCAATAGCATACCGGACATATGCATAATTGGCTATTACACAATAAATGTATAACGTAACTATTTATTAAAGCTTTGCATGAGCCGGCTCGAGCCAGCTCACCATTGGCTCGAGTCGAGCCGAATTATTTCAGCTCACAAGCTGGCTCATATGGCTTACATTATTAACAAAAATCCGAAAAAAAATTTTGGAGTAATTGAAAAGTTCCGGAAAGTGATTTCCTTTAAGAGAATCGTCTCTGAAATAGTTTCCTTCAAGAAAAACGTCTCCAAATCGATTCTCTTGAAGTGAAAACGCTTCTGGAATGTTTTTCTTTAAGAATTACGCTCCTGAAGCGTCATTCTTTAAGAAATTCGCTTCTGGAGCATTTTCTTTAAGAAATTCGCTTCTGGAGCGCTTTTCTTTAAGAATTTCACTTCCGGAGCATTGTTCTTTAAGAAATTCACTTCCGGAGCATTGTTCTTTAAGAATTTCACTCTGGGAGCATTTTTCTTTTAGAATTACGCTCCTGGAGTGTTTTTCTTTAGAATTACATTCTGGAGCGGTTTTTTTTAGGAAATTCGCTTTCAGAGCATTTTTCTTTAAAAAATACGCTACCAAAGCGTTTTTCTTTAAGAAATACGCTACTGAAGCGTTTTTCTTTAAGAAATACGCTACTGAAGCGTTTTTCTTTAAGAAATACGCTACTGAAGCATTTTCCTTAATAATTACGCTCCCGGATCGTTTTTCTTTAGAATTACGCTCTGGAGCGTTTTTCTTTAGAATTACACTCCGGAGCATTTTTCTTTAGAATTACGCTCCGGAGTGTTTTTTTTTAGGAAATTCGCTTTTAGAGCATTTTTCTTTAAGAAATACGCTACTAAAGCATTTTTCTATAAGAACTACGCTTCTGGAACATTTTTCTATAAGAACTACGCTTCCAGAATGTTTTTCTTTAAGAAATACGCTATAAAAGCGTTTTCCTATAAGAAATACGCTACAGAAGCGTTTTTCTATAAGAAATACGCTACAGAAGCGTTTTTCTATAAGAAATACGCTTCCGGAACGTTTTTCTTTAAGAAATATGCTACTGAAGTGTTTTTTTATAAGAACTATGCTTCCGGAACATTTTTCTTAAAAAAATACGCTACCAAAGTGTTTTTCTTTAAGAATTTCACTTCCAGAACGTTTTCTTTTAAGAAATCCGCTTCCGAAGCATTAATAATATGAATTGACTTATAGTTAATGCAGATTACAAAATTTATATTTATTTAGTTTATTTAATAAATCGAATTTTATTATTTGCAAAACAATAATTAAAAAATTCTTAAAAATA